GTCAATAAAAGCAACATCACTCAATCATAGGAATGCAGACACTGTCCTTTTGAGAAGGACCTTAGAGGTATTTTCTGGCAATTTATGTATTTCATGTGTCAAAGGTGTAGCTGCTAAATGCTATAAACTCTTTGCCATCAGCTCTACCATTCATCCACCTGGTGATACGGCTAATAAAATTTGATTTTTACAGCCTAGGTATTCTGTTACCTAAATTACATTTGACCAATTACTGAAGTCACCGAACGTGTGGTACAGAATATATACTGTGTAGAAAATTCATCTGTGGGTCCCCTGGCACTCCCGGTAATCTGACAGAAGTGTTTCAGTCATCTGGCAGTGTTTAATATTAGAAACATTTGTTTAATGCTAGTCACTAATTAAATTTATGTTCTTCCACCAACTGTTAGTTGGTTGGAGAAACCCAATGCCACATTTTAACAAACACTTTAACCCATGTCGATTTCAAACCAGTTGGAAGTTTAAAAGGGTGTCCGGTGTTCTCTGGAAAGTGAAATGTGTGGCCAAAAATAGGAGGTGGGGGAGGCATGTTGGTAAGGGTGATCAAATCAGGTCAGAATGAGCTTTTTTGTTCCCTTGCTAACATGAGCTGCTTTAAAAAGTACAAACTATTTGAAGTACGAACTTAAGTAAAACCTCTAATATTCTAATTATTAAGCTGGCCTTCTAGAAGCTCTTTAAAAGTACCTTCATTCCAAAAAAAAAAAAGCTTCTACTTTAAGAGGCTAAAGAAGAATAAAAGCACTGAAATTAGCTGTAACAGAACGAAGTCCAGGGAAACATTCAAAAGTCAGACGCTTGTGTTTGTGAGAACATTTAAAACTAATTTAGTAACTCTTAACAACCATTATGATTTCTGTTGAACTGGAACTTCTATTACCAATTCTAGATGTAACAGCTTTGAAACTCAATGACTAATAACTCTTAAATTAGTCCAAAAGGTTAAAACATTTTTTTCATTATATTATATTGAGAAACTTTAATTTTGAATGCTCTTAAATGAAGGGAAACATTCTTCCAGTTTTATTCTGTGTCAGGAATTTACAGTTCTCTCAGGCAGCAAGCAGGATATAGAATCTGGGAGCAGAGGACAAGTACTGGAAAGGGCAGATTTGTGAATGCTAATGTGCAATGAGGGGGTATTTAAAAAATATCCATTTATCTATTTGAATAAAAACATCATTTGAATGTTTAAAAACACGACAAGAAATATTTTCGGTGTGAGATTGTTTTCCTTTTTAGTCTTTCTCTTTTATTAGTCCATGTTTGCATTGCATAATGATTGTGCTCGCTCCTTGTGGGAACTGGCACATGTACATAACACTTCTTACCTCTTTCTTCATCCTCTTTCCCCCTTTCCTCCATCTCTTGATTGCCTTCCCCTTTGAGAAAGATCTGACTCCCTACTTTCTACCATCTATCTTTTATTTTGTTCTTTATTTATATTTTGGTTTTCTCATATAAGAGAAACCAAAGGAGGAAAATATAATTTGTACGAACTCTATTTCCTCCTTACAGATGGAATCATTTGATAAGCCAGTTATAAAAGACATCTGATGAAACAATTTATGCAGGAAAAAAAAGTAATGGCCTTTAGATCCCAGTGAGCTTAGATGTCTTTGTTTCCTTTCGTCCCTCCTGCCTTCCTTCTCTGTTCACCACATCCTATCCCCTCACACATCTACCTTAGAAAACCTCACCCAGGAGCAGCAACAGGGCTGCAGGGCCATAGAGATCACAGTCAAGAGTCTATGCTGGGGCTCCTCAAAACATGCTGAGGTCCACAGTGGTTAAGCAGGATAACTGTACTCGAGTAATCTACAAATGAGGAATTCTTGGGGAGGCAAGCCAATGGTATCAGAGAAGGTTCCAGCTCAGTGGGACCCTATGCTCCTCTCTAAGCCAGAGATCTCAGCCCCTTCTACAGCCATGTGCTCATGAGGGGCTAGACAGGCCCCTACTTTCCCACCTGCAGTGATTTCCAGAGAAGGGCTAGGCTTAAGGTAAAAGGTGTCCATGCTTCTGTAAGAATAACAATTCCCAGTCTCTAGAGAACCACTGATATGATCCTGTCTCTTCAACAACTAAGTGAGAATGTGAGGATGTGGGAGGAGAGTCATCTTTGGCTCAGCTCTAGTCACTGTGCCATGCAAATTTCCCAGATATCTCTCTCAATCCCATTTGTTCTTATGACCACTCAGCTAGAAGAGATGTAGACGAAGATGGACGTGCTTATACCCATCTTTGGTGGGCAGTATATGTTTGTGTGTAAGAATTATTCATGAAAGTGTGAGTCTATCTATCTGTCTGTGTCTATCTATCTGCCGTACAGTATCAAAGTAGTTATAATTTGTGCTATCTTATGAAAGGGAGTGATTAGGTCAAATTAAAATAATTCATATTTGAATAGCCAAAGCAGTTTACAAAAGAACATGAAAGCTTCCTGTTAGTCCTGTGGTCTAATTTCAAGGTCAACAAAGAGACTTCAAACTCTATATTGAACAGCAAATTGTAAATAATAATCTTTTACCTGTGGTTAGCAGAGGCTTCCAAGAAAGCCATGATGCCACGTGATGCCACAATGTAGGGATAGGGGGAGGGGTGGTACATGGGTCTGTGAAAATGAGTCCATTTCCCCCTCACTGCTCCTCTCCAAAACTGAACACAACTATTCACACACAAGTTTTAGGTAGGAAAAATATAGACTCACCAAACTCATCGCATATACTCTCATTTTCTATGAGAGTGGGGTGGTCAAACGTGTCTCGACAGTACAGGATCTGGGGGTTCCTGCTGACCACTGCAATGCCCCCCAGGGCCAATGCAAACTGGTCTGTGAGAATAGAAGATGGCTTATCCTGGATGCGTTTCAGCATAGAGCGGTACCGGCAGTACTGAGGGTAGCTGAGAACGATCACATTTGTTTCTTCGTCGTCTTCCCCTAGACGAATGAGAAAATATTACGATTGTCATTTTTTCCTTCAAGAAAGAGAACATTCATAGCAATGGCATAATTTGTATAACCACTTTTGGTTTTGGACTAAAGGTATCATTTTCACCAAGGTGCTTATCCCAGTCCATTTTATCCCAATCTGGCACTGTAGCATCCTCCTGCCTCATTTTACCAATCCAGCCACCCCCCCACACTGCCTAGGGTCCCCCTTAGAGCATAACCTTTTGTGGAGAAAAGAGAAGTGAGATGGGCTTGTGGACATATTAAAGTTCTACTGTTGTCACTGGTGAGCAATAGAACCAAAACTATTTTGAGAGAATCTGCCATATTTTTCTAAGCATTAAAGCCATCACAGTAGCAAAAAGCACAAATTTGTTAGCTTCTTTATCCTTACAGTTTGGCATTTTATATTGGATCGTATCATTTTTAGGGTGTTTGGGGACTTCAAAAAGGTCATCTGGGCCCAGAGGGATGTCCATGGGTCCAGATGGCACTGTCATCTTCACATTATTACTCTTTAGCAAATGTTTCCTGGTCTCTCTTAGTCTGGGGGAAGAAGGCGCTGCCTCCCACTCTCTTGGGAGTCCAGTGGCCATGTGAATTGTTTTGGCCAATGAAATATGACAGAAGCAGTGGGTGCTTTAAAAAGCCAGCGCATCACCAAACATAATCCTCCTTTTTCTTTTTTTCTGGCCATCTATAATGGTTCAGATAACAGCTATTCTTCCAGGCCGGATCTTGGAGTAAAAATAACTTGAATCAGAGGCCCTTGTTGATCCAAAATAGATGCACAGAATAAGTAGAAAATAAACCCTTGGTGTTTTATGTGCTATGGTTTAGGGCCATTGAAACAGGATCTATCTCAACTTGACTGATATATCCACCTTCTGAACTCTCCCTACACCCATACCCCTATCTTCTAATGTTCCCCAAATCCATCTGGTAACTCAACATCTCTCATAGAACCACACTGAGAGGACTCCCCAAGCATCACTGGGAGAGTTCCATCAGAAGCAGCTTAACTCAGAAGAATATTTCAGCAAATCCAGTGAGTCCTAATGATTATTTACATCTCACTATATTTTCTGCTCATTTATAAAACAAGATATGGTGTGGTTAAAATCTTTCCTTCACAATAAGCTTGAGAAATAGGAAACACCCTCTTTGATGCCTGCCATTTACATAATGTCAAGCTGAATTTAGGCTCCATGACCCACTTTGCCATCGCCCTCTGTAACCACACTATCGGCACAGTTGTAAGCCATCCGCAGACTTGTCACTTGCTCATCCAAAGAGAAAACACTCAATATTTTGAGCCCTTACCATGCTGTGGGGAATCACAGAAGACAGTTGTTAAGGATTCCAACATTATCATGGCCATCTGGTAACCAGTGGGAGACGAATGAGTAAGGACAGAACATAATGATGAAACATAACCAGTACCAATGGAAGGTGTGCATGTGACCTTTTCAGATAGGAGGCCAATACCCAGCTGTATTTCTAATTATGTTCACTTATTTCCTCAGGCTGGAGGCTTCTTCATGAATGGAGATATTTAGTTGTTTGCAAGATGACATGTTTTAATGGCTTACATTTCTTAGATTCCTGCCTGGCTTGTGAGTAGCCACTACATCAGCTGGCATACTTAATTAAAAGGAAATATGTTCTCCATTGAAAGCAAATCCTCAAGCAAAAGCTACTTTTCAGATGCTGAGATATATCCCAGGACATGCCAATTTGAGATGCTTATAGCAAAGCAGGACACTAAACTTAAACATTGGGTTTGAGCCTTTGCTTTTTGTCAAGTTAAAGCCTAAATAATTCTGCATGTAAATATTCACCAAACATCATTAAAAATCCAGGCTATCTAAGCTCTGCTTCAAGAAGCAGTCCTCAGTGAGTCAATTGTGTTGTTATAGTTTATATTATTATACTCTATTTGTCTGACATTGTGAATGAGAGAGGGGGCCATAACCATGAACTGCCGGAACTCACTACTTTCAGCTTGCTTGGCCCTCAATACCATCCTCAGCACATAGTAAACGCTGCACATAACAAACACTGATGATCTCCAAAACCTACTTTGGTTGTTCCATTGGTTTTCTAAGAAGGGGGGAAAGCTGCATTAGCTTTTCCAAGTGTTCTAGAAATAAATGGAGAAGGTAATGCTTTTCGGGTTGAAAGAAGGGAAAGAACAGGCATTTCACAGTTACTTTCACCGAAGTCACCTGCACTGAGATCCACTTCACTTTCCTTCTGTGCCCTCACTCTCTGACCATTTTGCATGATACTGCTGTCTCTAACCTCTTCCTAATTCTCCCTTCTGAGTACAGTCAGCTTCCTGGCAGTCTTCTGTACTTAGAGAGTCTCTCTCCCTCCCTCCCTCATGCTTGCTCAAAATATTTATTCCCCTTTCCTTTAGGAAGTTCCTAAAACATTAGCCAAGCCATGAATCCTTCTTTTTGTTAGAAAAAAGAAAACAGCAAGTTTCCTCTACTCCACACTCACAGCAATGTGCACTATGACTATCCATTCATTCTGGAGACAATGTCTCTAGGAGTGGTCTTGGAACTGCCCACAACATTAGAATCGCATAGTATGCCCATAAAAAGGAGGACTCTAGGGTGCCGTCAAGAATGACTGACTCAGAATCCCTAAGGCTGGGACCCAGGAATTTACATTTTTAACAAGTGTTTCAGCTACCTCATGCACATTAAACTTTGAAACCGGTGATTTCTGACTCTGAGTTTAGCATCCTACATAGATTTAAGGTAACTTATTGAGCTTGGGTTTTAAAATACACACATACACATACACACAGAATTGTAGGTAGATTTGTTATACACGCATGCATATATAGTTGTCAGATACATAGAAATCTGTATTTAAATTTTTTTTTTAATTTATCTTCCAATCCCCCTTGTACAAAAAGCAAAACAGAGGATTAAGTTCCCTTCTCCCTTTCACTTTTCCAGGATTGTTGCATGTATTACAGAAGATAGTAAATGAAAAAATAAAGTAAAGGAAATATTAATGCCATTTCTGGTACTGATAATAAAGCAATAACATTTACAAAGGTCTTTCACATGCAACATATCTCCTTTGTTCCCTTATTATTACCATCATGACGTGTTAAGGTGAGATACCCGAGTGACTGGACTAGACTCTCAAAGAGCTAGAAAGTGATGGATAGGAAACTCTCACACCATCTTTTTTTTTTTTTTTTTTTTTTTTTTTGGG